ATGGAAGACAGAAATCCTCAGCAGGATCTTGCTTCAGCTATCCCAGGTGGCCAGGGTCATGGGCACGCACGCACAGGTGACCTTCCATGTGGCTTCCGGCATCCCAGAGTCTCGCGCCATCTCTGCGCCACTGCAGCTGGGTCAGAAAGGGCCCATTTTAATCATCTTGTAAAGCACGCTTATTTTTACAGCTTGCAGATAATGTATCAGGTGATTAGTCTGTCTTTTTTTTTTTTTTAATGAGCTAGTACTTGAAATTTCCAAGATGAGGGTGAACGGTTCAGACAAATCGTTTCCCTGAAATTCTGCAGCCTGAGCCCCTTACGGCTCTGTAATCATTGGAAGCGACTTCCTCATAACATCCCCGCAAATGCTACGTTCATGTTTTCCTCTGCCTTCCTCAGAAGCACGGCAGATTGCTGAGAAGGGCAGATGCACAGCTCTAATGAGCCATCTTTCAGTCTAAAGGGTGCCCAGGAGCCTTCATTAGATAAATAGCAGCGGTGGAGGTGTGCTCTGCAGAGCTGACTCCCTGTCCCAGGCCTGTGCGGTGCTTCCCGAGTTAAGCATTACACGTACCCACCCCCACACACGCTTCTTCCCCACAAACAATAAAGAACTTCAGCATTTAACTTGTCTTTAATTTAGCTCATCATCTCATCAATTCAGTAGGCACTGAATTATGTGTTGTTGACAGTATCTTTGTTTGTTTTAGAGAGAGAGATTTTTTGCTGTAGTGCACATGCTCTTGCCAGAGAGAAAGTGAGAAATCACCCCCAGGGGAATGGCCACACCGCAATCCCTCCTGCTCCATTCCTCTTAGGATTTTGAGCACATATGCACACGCACCTGGTGCGAGTTTCAAGCTTTCAGGTCTGAGACTTGAACCACAGTCGGCTATGTGGGAGTCCAGCACCTTAAGCAGTATGCCACCCGCTGGCCCCGACATTGTCTTTGATGCCAACAAAATGCTGGCACCCTACCTTGGCGTGTACCCTAACATGTAACCTGGAGTGGACGTGCAGTGGCTGGATGGGCAGACGAGTGAGTGAAGATGTCCTTGTCGTTCATGAAAGTCCTGGATCGAAGCACCCGTTTCCAAAGGTCGGGTCTGTGAACTACCCGTGCAAGCCCAGAAGACCTATGGGTGATGCCCGTGTCCCTGAACTTGGAGTGAGCAGACACAGACTGGCTCCTGAGCACGCCGTGTATAAACCGTGTGCTGGGACGTGGTCTCTCTGGCCCTTGTCTTCCAGGCTGGTTTCTGTAGAGCGTTAAATCCTATCTGCATTGCGTTTTTCTCTCCTAGACTCTCTTGATAACCTCCTCCCAATAGGAAATCTGTATTACAGTTTTATTTCCTCTGGCCACATAGTTATCTCGCCTCACCTAAAAACTTGCGCCTACCTACCTAACCGTGCTTCGGTATCTTACAGCAAGTCGCCTTGATTTCTGACCTTGTTTATGAAGATTAAGGAATGGAAATATGGAAGCTGAAATCCGAGAATCAAAATTGTGAAAAACAAGAGATTCTAATGGCAAACCAAGTCCATCCCTGAGTCCAAGTATCCAAGAGTAACTATTAGAATTATCAGAATTAAACACAATGCATTTTTAAAAAATAATTATCTAATTTGTTTTTTTCTCTCTTTTTTTTTTTTTTTTTTGATGGTTTCTTGATATCCGTTTTTTATTTTTTTAAGAGAGGTTTTCACTATCGGGCGTGTGCACTTGCTAGAAAGACAGAGACAGAGAGACAGAAAGAGAGAAATCACCCCCCAGGGGGGATGGTCACGCCGCAA